GGATGGTCTCGATCTCTTGACCTCGTGATCCACCCGCCTCGGCCTCCCAAAGTGCTGGGATTACAGGCTTGAGCCACCGCGCCCGGCCTTCTCTAGGGGTCTTGACTCCAACCCTGATGCATACCAACCCAAAAGGATGAAAACTGAACACATTTTCTTATTTCTCAAGACCGACGAGGCTTCTTTGTTTTTCCATTCTCTTGAAGCTACCATGGTGCTCCTGCTTAAATATCTTCCAAGATTGGAGACCAAATATTTAATGTTCTCTAAATTTCCATTAAGTTTAAGCAGTTAAATAATCTACACCAGTGTATCAGTTATCTATTGCTGTGTATCAAATGACCCGAAAACTTAAGGTTTAATTAAATAACTATCTATTTAGTTCACTTCTATATGTCCTTCTTTCTTCTTCTGCTCTCATCTGGACCCACAGGTGCTTCTGTGACAATCCACTGCTGGTCAGCTAGGTAGCTCTACTTCTGGGGTTGGCGGACTATTGGCTGGAGAAAGGGAGATACGAGGCCACATGTCTGTCATAATCCAGCAGGCTAGCTCAGGGTATCATTCACAGGGTAGCTCAGGACTTCAAGAGCAGCCAGAGAGTGAGTACTGATAGTCAAGTATTCTTCAAGTCTTTGCCCGTGACCTGTTTGTTCCTGTCTCATTGGCTAAAGCAAATTATAAGGCCAAACTCAGAGTCAGTGTTGAAAGGGTACTATCAAGGGGCATAGATAAAAGAAAGGGGAAAAATATTGTGGATATTTTTGCAACAACTACAATTAGTCAAACTGGACATCTAATCCACATGAGTTTCTAATCCACATGATTTTTCTGGTATGAAGTCTCCATGGAAAACCTGCCCTGAGCATTCACTAAGAAGACGCATTAAAGGTCTCTGTATTATTCAGGGTTCTCCGGAGAAACAGAACAAACAGGATATATCATATATATATATATATATATATATATGATTTATTATAAAGAATTGGCTCATGCAATTATGGAGGCTAACTTCCAAAATCTGCTGCCTGCAAGCTGGAGACCCAGGAAAGCTAGTGGTGTAGTTCTAAGAATCAGAGTCCTGATGGTGTAAGTCATAGTTAACAGCAGGAAAAGACGAATAGCTCAGCTCAAGTAGTCAGGCAGAGAGAGTGAATTCCCTCTTCCTTGGTCTTTTTGTTCTATTCAAGTCATCAGTGGCTTGACTAATGCCCACCTACATCAGAAAGGGCAATCTGCTTTACTTAGTCCACCAGTTCAAATGCCAACCTCATCCAAAAACACTCTCACAGACACCAGAAATGATGTTTAATCTAGGTACCCCATGTCCCAGTCCCATGTCCCAGTCAAACTGACACACAGAATTAACTATCACCGGCCGGGCGCGGTGGCTCACGCCTATAATCCCAGCACTTTGGGAGGCCGAGGCGGGTGGATCACGAGGTCAAGAGATCGAGACCATCCTGGTCAACAAGGTGAAACCCCGTCTCTACTAAAAATACAAAAATTAGCTGGGCATGATGGTGCGTGCCTGTAGTCCCAGCTACTCGGGAGGCTGAGGCAGGAGAATTGCTTG